TCTTGTGGAGAGTCTGGACCTGACGTTGCAGAACTTGTTTTCGATTGACTTTGTTCTGAAAATTCTTCTGCTTCCTTCACGTTGTATTCCTCGTAATCCGAGATTATCCGACCTTCATCTTCAACCAAATCCTTATCAGTGGGCAATTTTGTTTGAGGATTTTGCAGTGCTTGAAGTTTGCCAAATGCTTCTTCAGCCATGCATGAAACACGTGCTATATGCTCCAGTTCATCTTGAGTTAATTCAAATTCAGATTCTTCGAATGTGGCATCGATTTCTTTTTCAACTGCGCTGTTAATGTTTGTAATGTGTTCCGTTCTTTCTTTTGTTGATAATTGCTTCCTTGGAATCATTGCATCTAAAATGTATTTTGCGCTGTCATTTAATCTGTCGCAACCATCAGAGGTCGTTTTTTTAAGTCCAAATGTTAGCATTTCTGGCTTATTTCCAACAGCATCTTCTATCGTAGTAGATTTGAAATCCTGACAGCATTCTGCTGGCGGGTGTGCAACATTTGCTATGTATTCCAGTTTTTCTTTCATTTGTTGGTTCTCATTTCTTAAACTGTCCGTAGTGAAAGCTGCTTTAGAAACAACTGTAGAAACAGAATCGGTGGAAACAATCGTATCTGATTGAAACGTTGACGACTTTGCACCGCTTTTTGCATCCACTTCATATGTACGCACTTTTGAATAAACCGCACTGCTCATCACTGTGTGCAGACCATCGATTTTTTGTTGATCGTGATAATGCATTTTTTGATCTTCAAGCTTTGTTATTTCTGTTGTTGGTAATTCTTCGGACTTTATCTCATCTTTTTCGAATTTCATTAAATTCATTTCTTGTATCTGGAATTTTTTATGACTTTTTTCTTTTTCAGATTCACTCCACTCCTGTTCCTCTACTATGAATGATTGTCCGTCCTCATTCTTTCGCCTTTTCATCACTATGTCGTTGTCGGAATATGTCTCATCTAAAAAACCGGAAGTAATAGAGGTAGTTTCATCAAATTTCTCAGTTGAAATCGAGTCTGATTTCTGTTTCCTGAATATCGGATGTCGTTCATCCAAATCGCTGTTAAAGAGATCTCCAAAATTGTCTTCATATGTTAATTTTTTATCGATAGAAAACTGTGTTACAACCTCCTCAGTGTTATTTAGTTCATCAAACTTACTGCAACTTTCGAATTTTTCGTCTTTAAAGTTGTTGAATCGACAAAATGATTCATCTCTGTAATCTTGGGATTCCATTTCTGGCACCAATCGTAAGTCGTTCAAAGGTCTATTCTCATAAGTCGAAAAACGTGATTCCAAAGGTTCGTGAATTTGATTAGGAATATTCTCTATATTATCCTCTTCAAATTCATAATAATTATTTGTAATTTCTGTCGTTAAATCTGAAAGAGACTCAGAACAAGTTGAACTTTGTTCTTCTCCAACTAATACATTTTTTCTTCCATTTTCTTTTATTTTACGATTGTATATACTGTTTTTAGACTTCAAAGTTTCATTTAAAGTCCTTGAGTCTAAACATTCCAGATCTGGATCTATATGATGTCCCAATTTTACTTCGCCGTCAAAGATGGACTTTACGTGCTGTATCATCGCACTCAATGTAGAGGATGACCACTCCTCCAAACTAATCAAGTCGATTTCTAGATTATCCATATTCTTTTCTTGACCGTAGATCTTCCCATTCTGAGTCGTTTTTGATGTTGCTTCATCTGACACAATATATTCTGCCTCTTTTATAATTTGTTCTATGTATTTCATCGCTTCAGTGTTTCCTGTCCCTTCATTATTGCTTAACTGTTCCGTTGCAGTCGAAGTGGATTTTTCTTCACAGGAACTCTCGCTGTGATAACTTTCCGAATCAAGCTGTTGCCTGGTATTCCATTCTGTTTCTGAAAATTCCGAACCGGAACTACCTCCGGATTCCGGTTTGCTCTGCTTTCTAGTTTCGTAGATATCAGTAAGTAAAGGATTTAGGTAAATATCTCGAGTTGGATCAACCTCATAGAGTGTTAGTGGTGGACTCATCTTACCATCAACTTGTTGCTTCATATAGAGACGTAGGCCCCGGTTTTCATTGTCCAACAAAGTGTATTCATTTACAAATTCATCAGATGACACACTGCAACTGCTGTCGTCGAGATTGCCGTAGTCATCTATAGAAGAGAAAGAATTTTGTCTTTCTTCCTGAATGTTTTCCTGAACCGATGAAGTTAGGTTGGCCTCTGAAAACTTTTCCTGTAGCACGGATCCTTGTTTTTTCAGCATAACATCAGCCAGGACTAAGGCTAAAATATGAATCCAGAGTTTTTCTGCGAAGTTCTGCAATGCAGACCTTAGTTCTTGTGAAAGCTTCTCTTTATCTTCCTCCAGAAGTACATAACAAAATTCCTCTTCACAGTCATCATCAAGTTCTGAAACTGAGCTCAATCAAAAATTTTATAAATTTTACGGTTTTTTCACACTTAAATTTCATGTGTTAATTGTGCATATGTTCCAACTTTCAAAAGAAAACATAGCATATTTTCAGCAAACCATTTTCGTATTTTACATTTAATTAGAACAAATTCAACTATGTAAGAAATCACCTGAGTAGCGATACAACGTTGATTCCTGATCAATGAGACGTGCCAAAGATTGAATACATTCACAAGAAATTGATTTTTTAAACGTTGTAGAGGAAGCACGCAGTAAAGCAGTATGCACGTTGTGATCACTTCCAGACCAAGTCGTATGTGGCTGTTCTTGTCCGCAAAGTAATTCCAACGCATTCAAGTAGACAGATTTGAAGATGTTGATTGTCAGTTCGGAGCAGTATCTATCAATTTCAGCATCTGTTCCGTATTTCAATTTTAATTCGTTATATACAGCAGTAAATATAACGGTACACAACCAATGACAATACTGATCCAGAACAATCTTACAGACAGAATCGGCTATAGCTAGTGTACAAATTTCGTGCGACATCTTAGATACATATTTCGCAAAGTCTGTGTTCCTTTCTATATTAAGAGGAGTTGAAAAGCGAGCCACTGCAAAAAAAAAAAAAACATTAAATTCATTTAAAATGACCACCGCTTCTTTATCTGACTAGTATTGCTCATAAAATAGTACCAATTCTACTGAATAGTACAGTGCAAAACAAACCGGTCCGATCAGTATTTAAACTTTCGGGAACTTTTACATTTTAGAAATTGTGGCGATATTGAGAATCTAAGATATAAGTAATGCACAGAGTCTATACATCAGTCGCTTAATCATTCATAACTTCAGCGAATCATTTAGCGACGAAGCTTATTTATTTTTAAAACTCACATTTTCGTGCGGAGGTTAGTATATCGCCTCCATCGTCATCGAGAGAGCTTATCCAGCGATATAACTGCTTGCTAAGTTGTTTAATGCTTTGTGTGAAATATCCAGGTTGTTCGATAGATGAATCTAAAAATATCTTACTCGAAAACAGTCTTCGGTTATAAGTTTCTAGAATTCAACCAGTGGTAATCTTTGATGCTGCTCTATTTAATTTTTATTACTACAGTAGTTATTATATACAAAAACTTTACATGAAATAGTCTTCTTGAATACTAACCTTTCGTGTCTTTTGAGCCAACTGTCGAAGATTCTGAACAATTGCACTTAGAATTGAGTAACGAATCGGATGCCTCTCTGACTTCTATTGCTTCAAGAAAATATTGAGAATTAGTTTTGGATATCATTCTATATATTTCTTCCATTCATGCAAGGATTTTCGCAAATCATGTAACAGAAGAAACAAATCCGTACTTTCTGGAAGTGAGTCCATCTGCACAAAGCTTTCATTACGAACGGTAAAAAATTGTTCATTTTCGTCAGCTATTCCTCGAAATCTTGCATCACTGAGTCTCGAAAGCTTTCTCTTGTTCAACACAACTCGGACTTCTTTATGTGACTGTTCTGCTCGTCGAAAAACCTGCAGTGAGCACAAGTTGAAATCACTAGCTATATTAGATTAACGAAACTGATCTCTTAAATTCATATCGAGTCAGGTATACAAAAAGACAATGTAATTATCCGGATTTTTACCTTCCATTATCAAAGTTATCATTTCGAGCTTTTATGAGCACATATTATTAGTTACATTATTACCTACATTAGTTCCAACAGCATCGCAATAATTCAATTACAGTGAAATTAAAGTAGATCAAGCTGATAATTAGGGATTGATAATGAAAAAGAAAGTTGCAGAAAGACATACTTCCCTTATATGAGCTTGTTGTTCCTCATCTAATTCATGTAGAATTGATAGATTTAGCGGCGTAGCTCCCATTTCTTCCGTCGAATTGTCCCCTTCTTCCCCTTCTACTTTTCTTAATCTGGAATATTATTTATGCTTAATCAACTTTTATATGACTCTTTACATAAATTTAGCAAAAAAGTTTCAAACCCATCGTTTCATAATTTCTTGTGGTTCTCTATGCAGTCATTAGTATCGCTGAATTCTACTCTCCTACAATCATTTCTTTTCTTCAAGTTAGCTTATTTAATTAATTAATTAATTGATTGAACTGGACAAATTACGAAATGAACTGAGATTTATCATACCACGCAAAATTCTGACGTTAGTTGGAACTATCTGGCGACGAAAATGCATCATTTTCGAAAATTTTTGCTTAAAAACTTTTTAGAATGAATTTAGTTAATATGACAACAAAGATTTGAAAAAGATTCAGTGCGAAATTTTATATGTAAAGGTCATTCATCTGATAAAACTCACCGGAAAAACGTTAACCAACTTGACATTTCGTTCTACCTTGCTTGTAGGGCAATTACATTTTCTGAACTTTAAAACAAAATTTAGTCAATATTTAACAAAGAATTCAAGTCGATCGTTAATATAATTCATAATATCATAACATATAACATTTTAAAACTCAGCCGTAAATTTTCAACGCATCATTATTTTTTGATATAAATCTTTACACTAAAATAAAGACCATCCCTTCCATCACTTTTTCGCTTCTCTGCTTCTTATTTAAAAAAAAATTACCTATCAACAAATAAAATCTCCTATTTTAAGTCGATTTTTGTTTCAAATAAGGTTATCGATCAAAATGAACAGAAGAAAAATAGTTGGCAGCAAGACACCAACAGAAATATTTGCCATACATATGAAGTGATGAAAGTAACTTTCTTGCAAATAACAATTTTTGTTAAAAAAGCGAAATAATGTCAAATGGAGTTGTTTCAATTAGATCCATGCGGAAATACTGATTCAATAAAATCATTGAATTTTTTTTCACGAGAAGTGTAAGTATAACGGATTATTAAAGGCGTGTCGCAATAGTGCTACTACCAAATGAAAGAACTTCTCAATAGTTGGGCTTGTACTAGATAAATCTTGACTTTTTAATCTACTTTTTTGAAATTATTAAAACTGAATCAAGCGAGGAAAAACTTATTAAAATTTAATTTTATTATTTTTCAAATCTAATTTTATCTGTTAGCAAAATGCAACTTTCTTGGGAATGACAATTTTTGCTAGCAAAGCGAAATGATACCAAATCTAATTACTTCAATTAGTTTTATGCTAACAAAACTGAATCAATAAAATTTTTGAACAAGCATATTTTTAGTAATTGTTCATGATACATTCATGATATAATGTATCATGAATATATCATGAACAATTACTAAAAGGAAAAATTAAATTGATTATTTTGCGAAGAGAAAATGACTGATTCGGAATTATTTGTTGAAAATGTAGCCTTGAAACTCATGGCTAATTTAGAAAAAGCATTGAAATAAAATAAGAAGGAACTTATGGTGATCGAATAAAATTCTGTACAAAGATCATTCTTTTTTTTTAAAAAGATATTTTACAAATTGTAATAAATTAAATGACGCACAGAGCATTAAAAAGGATACTTGGAAAATATTTCTCTCTATATTAAACCATCCCTAATACGCTTTAATCCAGCACTGATATGACTGAATAATTTTGTCAAAACTTGAGAACATATTTATATAAATAAATTATTAAAGTAAAAAAAGCATGCACTAATGAACACATGAACCACTTATTAAATAATCGGGATTAATGAAAAAAGTAGAACAACCTGAGTTAACTTGTTAAAAAGGTGCATATTAATTATAATAATTACAAATTACTGGGATATGAAAATGATGATAGAAAATGTGGTAATGATGAATTAAGATTGTGATAGGGATGAGAGAAATAATGACGTTGATGAGAGGAGTGAATATAAGTGGAAGGGATGTTAGCTTTGCGATAGAACTTTTACTTTCACCTTATCGATTCTCTTGAAATGCAAACCAAAGCATACATTCAGGAAATAATCCTCTCAACTTCTTGTGCCAAAGGATTTTTTATTATCAAGGAGTACAGTAGAGAAAATTAGAAGGACAATTTAAATGCGAAATTGAATGCATTTATTATCAATGCATATTAATCTATCTAGCGATATCATATTGTAAGAACATCATTGCTTCCATAGTATTGTATTAAAGGAGAGAATTTGGCAATTCGAGTTTACCGAAACTGGAAAAAGAAAACAGTTTGGAATTAATCAATCATTTTGCAGGAGTGCTAAATTAATTATGAGCATTGAAAAAAACAGATAACAACGAAAAGGTAATAGACCTTAAAGAGCATTGAAAAAAAAAAAAACATCACACTACAATCTTTCAAAGATTCAGGATAATTCTTGATTATTTCAATAGGAGACAGATTAAGATGAAGAGAACAAGAAGAATGGAATGCTGGGAAATGTAAGGTAATTGTTGTCTCAGTTTAAAAAAAAATTATTCAACAAAAATAGGATGGAAAAAAGGGGAAAGATTGTTGTTGCTGAACTGGAAGTTTCCGGGATTGGCTGTCAAACGCAATGTCACTTCTAAAGCTATTGCTGCTGTTAGAAGTGCAGCAGCGTCTGCATTCTTATATGTCTATGCATAAATTTTTTGTTGCTCTTCCTGTGCTTCGTTTTCACTCACTGCATAAACAGCACTGGTGAAGCCAATTAGAAAAAGACTCTTTGGCCAAAGCTCTCTCCATCATCTATGCTAGGCTAGCAACTAACGATCAATGGAATCGCATGAATTTCTCGCATCCCATTGCTTCGTCATTTTTTTTCTGGTTTCCATTTGAGCATTCTTGACAACCCGATCATAAATTCTCACAATTGTGATGGGCCCTTGTTTGAATATTTTCATTTCTTTCATCAATGTAAACTGTCTTCCTCTCGCTTCTCTCAGGACAGTTTATACGGGTCAATCGTTTTTCGCTTTTGGGAACTGTCCCTTTTTCTTCATTTTAAAGAGAATAATGAATGAAGAAGACTGATTTACACTTTGTAAAAATCACCTTACATCGATTCTCGGACCTAATTTCTTAGTGTCAATCAAATCGCAGCAATACATTTCTTGATGTTACGTTTTTTTTAAGCTTAAATTTTGGTGATTTAAGGAGTCGAATTTTATATTTATATGTCCACTTTTTTTTCTTACTTTTAAACTCACTTTTGTTTAGGATGCAACATACTGTGAATGATGCGCTCGGAGGTGGTTGTGAGTACGATCGTCCTAATTATTATGCAATCCTTGGATGTGACCAACACTCAACCGTTAATAAATTATATCTTCGAAGATTTTAAAATAAATTCTTTTTTTTGCTTGTTATGAAAAAAAACGCTTATAATTAGGATATTTTTTTTAACTTGGTCTTCAATTCAGTGAAAGTTTCTTACATTCCATGTAATTCTATGAATTTTTTGCATTCTTAAATTTCGCTGTTTAGAAATCACAAATTATGGCGGAGTATCGGCAGCGAATTCGGCAGCTTCATCCTGACAAATCATTCAAACAAGTGCCCGAAATATTTTATGAGTTGCAGAAAGCTAAAGTCAGTTGTATTTCCCTTCTTAACAGCAATACTTTTAACTGAATTATTAAATTCAACATGGTTTTGAGGAAATGTTTTTTAAAGGTCATTTCCGACAATGCTCTGACGTCTTTAGCAATTTGAAGTAATATATTCCATTTGGAAATAGTTCGAAATGCATTGTTAGATAATTGATTTATGAATTGTAATATATATAACTCGGAGCATGCCTTCCAAACTTTAATTCGAATTATAGTGAAATCGAATTAAAATGCTACCCAAAGCTTCTATAGTCTGTAGTCTACCCATGTATTATTCATAAATCTGTAGAATGTAACACTGTAATATGCTATCTATAAATTATCTGAAACTCTTTAGAATATTCTGACAGATGATAAGATGAGGCGAGCATACGACGCTTGGTTTGATTGCTCCGTCAATATTCCTTGGTCAATGTGGCTCGAAAATTCTCACAGCCTTTCCGTATGTATTTGTTATTGAGGACCAAAAATAATTATAAAATAATTTATTCTTTGACTATATCCTTTAATATACCTATTAATGGAGAGTCATAGCTACATGAAGCTATTTCAAATGAATTCAACGTGACTAATAACAAAACACGTTATTTGATAAAAAATTTTGCAGGATATACATTGGACACGCCGAGTTCACAATTCAACCATGCTCAAATATCGAAATGAGGAAATGAAAATGGAAAATTTATATACAGGCAGCATAACGCGTCAAACATCATCTCATCATTCTTTATTACTTAAAAAGTTCAAAGATTATGAAATCTAATCCTACTCAATTTAATTTTATCTCTTGAAGTTGAGATTTTTTTGAGCGCAATTCCTTTGTTTCACAAAACGTTTTGATAGATTAAAACCCATCGGTCGCAAACAAAGACATGGATTTTTCTTTTACTGATCATTTAATTCACAAAATTTTTTCTTTTATCTTTTCAGTTAGAGAAATATCACTCACATAATGAATAACAATAAAATGTCAACTTCAAATATCAAATGCAGTACATAAGAACAAATGTAAAATTTGAATCCTTCATCATCATTGTCATCTCTTTGCAAGAAATATTCCATAGAATTCATATCAACATTACATAATCTCAACTCAGCTATGAAAAGAAATTAAAGAAATTATCGTACTGTTTGGATATTAAAGAATGATTTAATTCTTTAGAAAACAATGATTTCAGCTCACTAAGCTAATGAATTGATCAACGATATCAATGAAGATCAATACAGACTGGTAAGATTATCGGATGACGCAGTCGTTGCAATTGAAAATATGAAAGATATCTAACTAAAGAATGAGATGGAAGTCACGAAAACAAAAACATCAAGCCTGCAAAAGAAGGAGAATTTTTCGTCTAACAACAGGGACTTTAAAAACACTCCTGGAAAGAAAGAGTTCAACTAGACCTCAGAGAAAGAGAAAGGACAGGGCGAGAATGATCGTTTGCAACTTTGAATGATAATTTATTGCGTTACTGTTAATAATTCCAAGCCTATTTATGAATTAAATATTTGATAAAGAGAAGCTCTTCGTCCATTATTTCTTGCAATTGAACCTCACAACTGCCATCTTTATTACTCTGATAACCGAACAAGCGGCTTTAAAAGCGTGGAGAAATCTGCTAGTATCACTTTTTTCTCCGATCCACTGGGAAAACATATTGCACATCGATGTCATTAGTTTTATATGTTAAAATTAGCTTTTTGACAATGTCCAATAATTCGATCCGTTGGAAGTTTTCAAGGATTTTTTACGAGGTATGTACGTGAGATCTTGGGTTGTGACTAAGTATAGAGCCAACAATAGTCTACAAGCAGCATTGGGGTATGTCTGTTTTTTAAATAAAATGTTAGTGATGATTTATATTTCACTTATATTTGGACTTCCTTAGACGGATCCAGAAATATCAACTGGGTTAGTCGAAATTGCTGACTCCACTTGTTTGCATTTCTAAATGCAACGTCATTAATCGAAAGGAAAGAGAGAGAAAAATGGCCAAATACCATAACACAATGTTCCATATATCTCGTCATGAAAGCGCTAAATGTTTTCAAAGATGTAATTTTTCATGTTTTGAAAAACATAATGATAATGGATAAGATTATAGCACCAACTTTCTTTAACGTATTTCTTCATGTTTTATATAGCATCATAAGTAATATTCTACAGAATAAAATCTCTGGGTTATTTCGATGATATTTGACCTTTTGGTTATTGCATATTTGATTTTTATACTGAAGTGCCATTTTGCTTAAATGCAGTAAGCAGAAGACCATGAAAGCTGCCATTAATTTACTTTTGTTCGGAGGTCCACATTTTGTTAATCATAATCTAAAAAATATGCTGGAACATAGAAATTAGAATCAGTCCAGGGAGAAAAAAAAAGAATGTGTTTTGTGTGTTTCTTCGTAACACAATGCGAGGAGGAGTGTTAAAGACATGTTTTACTGTCAATAAGTTTTTCTATTAAGAAAAGGCATTTTTGGTTGAGGTTTACAAGTTTGTCGGGATGTTTGGATCGAACACTAAAATGTATATATAGTTTTGCTGTTCAAGTAAAATACCGTGCATTCAGGAAGAGATGCTTTTGAAATGCTTTGGAGCTTCCTTCAGTATTTGAGATACAGTGGAAGGTTACACCTTCAAAGAAAGCACCGAAGTGGTAAGTGTTTGAAGTCTCGCACTTCGATCATTCATATTTACCTATTAAACTCTAAAAAATTATCAGTCTTGTGATCTTTGGGCAAGGCATCATCTGCAGGCTAAAGAAGGGAACAATGCGGTCTGAACAGTACAGAGAGAGATGGAGCAGATATTATAATTTGCGGACCCGGTCTTTGGATTGTTTTGTCTTCTTGTATTTTCTTTTATTTTAAAAAAAAAAATTTATAAATAGGAGTTACAGATAGTCCTTGTTTGGATTTCTCATGTTTGCTTTTATACTCAGTAAAAGTTTGATTTCATAGACTAATGATATAGTCCCAATAAAGTTCTGCCAAAAAAAAAAATTCAGACGGTGGGACTTGCATTTTCGTATTTGTTTTGCAGTATGTTGATGGATTTTTTACTCGTCTTCAGTATTCTGTATTGCAAGTAATCTCTTATCCTTAATTCTATAAGTTCTTTTTTTGTTTCTTGCTTTTTTTAAAACTGAATCTAACTAATAGAAGAGATAAAATTACGATCGAGATGATTGCTAAGTGATTTTTTGCTGTTTCAATTTCGAACGAAAAAGTTCGCAGTCGATAGGTATTCTTGTCTCTGTTGGGCGTCATTGCCGAGGACCAGTTATCAATGAAAGAGAAAAGTGAACAGAAATAGACAATTTTTTTTTTCTCTTCACATGCGACAATTGTATAGGAGAAATGAGTAAACGAAATTTAATGTCGAGATGAAATGGAGAAAAAAATTATGGGAAAAGTAGGCAGTTGTGAAGATTATCGCATAAACTTTAGCAAAACATTAGAATTTTCATGATGGGAAAACACATTTTGTGAAAAGCGTTTAAAGCATCATTTTCATTTCTCACTGCACGTTGCGCGTCTTCCACTATTATTTTACATGGTAGTACGAAGTTTCTTTGACTGAGGATACTGTGCTTTCTGTCCTTCTTTCATTTTGTCTTTATTTAATATGGTACTGAAGAATTTTTGAACCGGATCACAAATTATTTTTCTCTGCTTCTAAAAATTTCAATTCCTACTTCATTAGCAGTTCAGTGTTCATTGTTGTTTGAAAAAAATCATGGATGACCATCACATCATTTCTTACTTGCTACAATATATTCATTTCTTTTTGTGCATCATTCTTCCTCGTCAATGAATTAGTTTTGGTACTAAAATTCTGGCAGTGAACTGCATTGAAACAAAACAATTTTATCATTCTTCAGACCTAAAGTATAAGCAAAGGGTTAGGGAAATGGGGAATGGAAGTTCATGATGGTAGTTGAAGGAGAAGTGAAGGAGAGGAGTGATTAGTGAGGTCAGGTCACAAAGCCTCTCATTGCGCCACTTACTATGGTTGGGCGAATGTAAGAGACAGTGGCAGTGCGAATAGTGTGCCTTATTTTGACTTCCTTGAATTCATTTGTATAAGGAAATGAAAATCATTGTTCTTCGAACAGTTTTAATTCACTTCAGATTTTTTTGCTTTGCAATGTTTGAGTAGATAATTGATAAGCACTGCTGAGACCAAACAGAAAGGGCAAGGAAGGAAAAGAAGGGGTGGTGAAGTTACACGGCCCAAATAACCGGTATGTTTGATAGAATTGATGAGGGCTCTAGTTTCTCACCTCTTATCGTGGGAATTCCCACACCCTTCCATTTAACGACCCGTTTCCTTTCTCACGCAACTTCTCCCATTCCAAAATATCATATTTTGTTTTGGTTGCCTCATCCGCCCATCTCTCCCCCTCACCTCGCATGCCATCACTATACTGGCTGCTGCTCAGTCGCTCCTCCCGCCCACCTTTCTTCAGATGCAACCCCAACTGCAACCCTAACTCCAACCCTGGCTCGACTGCGGTCTATCTCCCTTTCAATGCTCCATAGCATTGTACAAAAATTGTTGTTCTTTGTCAGTGTTCATTCCTATTAGTGCTGCTACCGTGCTGCAGTAATAATTTGAAGTTGGTGTTACACTGGTGGATTTTAGAAGCATCAGGGCAATGGTAGTATTGTCAGACAGGAGATCAATCAGCATTTTTTTTTGAGTTGATTTTAGTGTCTAGTACTTAATCTGCTTGCCTTCATGTTTCTGAAGGAAAAGTGAAATTCAATTGATGTCTATTTCATCATAACCCAATATTGGCAAGGTGTTGGATAATGTCAGTTGATGATAGGGAATGACATGTAGCATGTCGATCGACTAAATTTGGGTGATTTTAGTAGGAATACTTTTGTCAGGTCCGGTAAATTTCAGCTTTTTCCGTTGTAGTAACCTATTTTAAAGCATTTCTAATAACACTTAGATGTTCTCGTAGATAAGTTAATTTGAGCTTCTCTAAGTTTTTACGCAGATTGAAATTGAAAATGATTGATGGAAGTCACATTTCTTCCCCTGTTTCTGTCCATCCAAATTATCTGTAGAAATTTTGTGACCATTTCTTCTTTAAAGAACGGATTCCATACTTATCATCCCACAGATTTGTTTCTTAATCGTATATTGTAGTTTTAATTTGTTTAAAAGATTTTTACTCGAAATAAAAAGTTCTGTTTCATCATATTCTTGTTTGTTTTATGACCTTGCTTAGGGTTACAGTTTGCCAATAATTTTTTGTCTGTAAAGTGGTATATATTGTTTGTTCGACGGTTTTCAAATTACTTTCTAACTTTTGAATTCCGCATTCTCAACATTAAGAGGTACATTTTCGAAACTTCTTTGGGAAAGATTTACAGGTCACAATCGCGGTTCTTTGCGACGTGTGTTCACAGAGTGCGAATGAAGGACGTGAAAATTGAAGATTGTGAGGTTGGTCTTTCTACGCATTTTCTGATAGTATTGCAGAAGTCGCACAATGGTTTCGTTACATTCCTTTGTGTCCAAACATTTGCATACTGGGTCGAATTATGCTTTCGCGATGAAAGTTTTTTTTATCAAAGAATTTTTGACCCTTGCCTTTTTTCCATAATTCCATTCATTTATCTTTGTTCCTACAATAGACTCTGTGACTGGTACTGAATACGATCTGCTGGTTGCTCTTGTTTTCTGTCGTATTTATCTGGATTGTTACCGGCTACGTCTAGTCCGGCAGTTTAGTTTGCAAGAAAATCTCTAATAGACAAACCCTCAGTGCCTTGTGTGTTCCATATTATTCCTCGTGCATATGCGTAACATTCAGTATTTTTAGGCGGAAGCAGTATATCCTTTGATATCTGCTGAATCAAATTCACTTTTTGCTTTAATGTGGACTCAGAATCTTGCAGCTTTAGCTGCTGGAACAGGCACGAATGCTTCAACAAATTCATTTATGCAGCCGGTAAACTTTGCAGTTCTACGTTTACGATTGTCGCTATCCTCATGTTTTCCTCTCATATTGTCAAATTTAAGCTATTTATGTTATGTTTAAGCTATATGTAAAAGAAAGAACTTACTAATGAAGATGTTCGAATACTGTAGTGATGGCTATCAGTATTTAGTGCCAAAGGTATGATGGTGACGTTTGATCCCTACGATTTTTTACTCTTTATCTACTTTTTTTCTTTTTGAGTTGGAGGGAAGGAAAAGGAGAATATTCGCGCTTTGTCTACATTTTATGTTCTATTTTGAAATCAGCTGAGTAGATATATCCATCTACTAGCAAGACGCATAGCTTGTGCCGTATTATTTTTTATAAATCTTGTCTGTAAAAAAAGTAATCTGTCGTGTAACCGAAAATAGGTTGTAGTACATTATGAATGATAATTTCGCACTGCATTCTTGTTGCAGGAAATTAAGAAGGTCGCTTAGTTCAAAAATATGATGTTCTAGATATAAACAAGCTAGATTGATTGGCTTTTCTGGCGTGGTATTTTTTCCGGAGTTACTGTATGTGCCTTTTCTAGCTATTGAATTCAACGTCGGGCACTTTGCAACAGCTCAATCCATTCCTACAAACGCTTGCAGTACAGTCTGGAATTGGGTTCGCTTCACCGAAAACGAATGCGATCATAGCATTTCCTTCCGGTGTAAGAAGTATTATATTATTTCAGACAATTAATTTGAGGAAACAAACTAAACTAGTCATGTCTCCAAAAACGAATTCCATGAAGAAGTGCAATAAAATTGTTGAGCTGCTTTTTTTCTTCAAAAAGAAACTAAAAGAAAATCACTCAAGAAATCTTATTCGTTTCCAGTGTAGAACAGTAGCTGCAAGTTGTTACTGAAATGTTCTCTAACTCTCTAACTCTTCTGGCCGTCCAAGTTTGAAGTTTTTTGGTTCATGAAAGTTTGAGATTTTTTCAGTTTGAAAATTTTAAAAATTTCAGTTGTTTTTTGAAACATGATATTTCTGATATGAGGAATGATCTAGAATCGATTACTAAAATAGTATTGGACTGCGAATTTATTTCGTTTATGGAAGAAAAGTGGGATAAGTACAAGGAGTGGAAGATCTGGACGGAAGTTGGATTACATGTTCATCCCACCGAGCGAAAGTGGAAATCGGTTCTTTTGCACAAAATCCGAAGTGTTTCGACAGTTGTCATCGTCTTGTCACCCGACGCATCCCTTGATTTTTATTGTTCTTTCACTTATCTGTTGCATTTGATTGAAATTATCTTGTGCAGCTTACTGTCGGAAATGTTTTGCGATTGCACAATAGTTTGGCTTAGAGCTCCAATTAAAATGAAAGGAATATTATGTAAATAACAGTGATGGATACAATGTTGCAAAAGCCATAGTTTATCATTGGTTATCGTAAATCTTCAACTTTATATTTCTTGACTTTCTACTTGGAAAGTGGCTTTACAAAGTGCGAGCAATGTGAAAGAATTTCAGAAAGAAGTTGAAGGCGCAGACAAAGTTCTGTGTCGCAATCCGAATTCAACTGGAAATGGAAATGAGCAGGACGCAAAAAGGATGCGCCTTTCTTCTCATTCATTGAAACCCTCCACATCCCAGCATATTAGCATCGTTACAACTGCTGTTAGTGATGCATCCGGCAGTAACGGTGATGTTGCGACAGGTAACATTTCATCTCTATCACTCAGTGAAATTTGTCTGAGCGAAAAAGCTTTTTCGTTTTTTCAAGAATTAGTTTAGCTACTCTAATAATCTACAAACAATTACATTGACACTTTTGTCTCAGATGGAAAAGAGTTTCCATCTGTTCGAAGCAAATTTAGATCTCGCTGTTTCACAGAGATACATTAGCTCGGGTTTCTTAATGAAGTAAATCGAAGTCTATGTATCAATAAATAATTTGCGTTTTCTTTATGGAAGACGGAAAATTAAGGGACTTGCAATCTAAACATCAGAAGGTCGTCTTTGCGGCCAAATTTGCTATACATTATTTCAAATAAAATCAAATTTAAACCGGTAATGGATTCTTGTATTATGTACTGTTCACAACTGCATAAATTGTTTTGGCAAAGTTTTAGATGTCAGTTATTTTGAAAACATATGTTTTCAAGCTTTTAAACATCAGAATCATCATTGTTTCTTGTTGCATGTACAATTTCTGGCCTAATTTCGCTCATATTTTTCTATGATTTTATTAGTTGATATCACACAAATGAAAAATATGCAAACAAAATTGGTTATTAGTATCTTGGAAATATTTGATGAACATAAGATGCGTATATGCATATAAATATACGCGTGTGTATGCTATCCGTCTGTTATTGGTATGTATTTTCAGTTAGTGTGGAATATGAGTAGTGGATTTGTGAGTGCCCAAGGATGGTGGGAATGGCTGGATTACAGTAGCATTGAGGTTGAATAGTGTGGGGCGCTTAAGAATCAATTAAGGAATGGAATGAGTGTCATCTGGAGACAAACACTCTATTAGGCAATCGTTACCGCACCGCATGTTCGAGACACATTGGCATGCGTATAAGGGAGCAAAATGATATACCTTAAGGCCGAAAAGATGTACACATTGTTTGTAGCATCTATTTGTTATAAAATTACATCATCGTCCTTACAGTATTTATCACTCATTTTACCTATATCTTCATCATCTCTTTGGCTGGTCACTCTTCTCTATTATTTGTGATTTTCTTGAGATTCGAGATTTTATCACAGTAAAGGAGGGGCATCAAGAATTTAGCTCCTGGTTAGATGCTTTTCTAGTCTGAGTGGCAACAGTTCATAATATATGTAGAGGCTATTTTGGTGTATATAGACATGTACGACTATGTTTTTAGCTCCCTTTTTTAGTGCGTGAGGCTAATAAATTTTGATTTTTCTTCATATAAAGGTCATGAATTCTTTATGGGAACTGCCAGAGATCCTGTGCTTTGTATCCATAAGTCTTCGAATGCGGCAAAAAAAGAATATTAGATTTTCGAGGAGGACTATCATATGTGTACAACTATATTTCTAGCTTCCTTTTTTTTAATGCATCATGTTATATGATTATGGTTACAGTGGTAGTTGTTAGCATTTTCGATATTTACAGTGCGTAGAAAAAATGGACCATACTACATTTTAGTAAGGTGGGACATAGAATACACCAAAGCATTATTCGGAAGTAAAATAGGTGCAATTCACTTTCGTGTGATATGGTTATCTGAGGGTTGTTTGTTATGATAGTGCTATCTGCAAATAATAAGTTTGATAATGATCGGGAGGGTATATATAGATAATAAGCAAAAGATTTGAAGAAGGAAGGGGGAAAGGAGAGAGAGTTGAATGCGGGATATTCGAAAGGTATGGACCGAACAGCCCTCGGAGGTTAGCTTGTATCGTTGATTGGTTGTCTTAAGCGTGGGAACTGTCCCCATATGTCGCGCTGCTATATGTATTGTGCAACCCTTTGAATATATGATGACTTGAGTTAATAGACCTCAGCTTCCGTCAAGCGATGCCTGCCCTTCCTGATAATGCAAGTTGCCCCGCCCTTGTATGCTTACTTATCCTTCTCCTTCTCCTCCCATCCAGCAAATGATGCCTTTATATGGGAAAATGCTTGAAGTGGTGGAATATTAGAGGGCGGTTCTCAGTCGTCTCGTGAGATCCTGGTACAAACATCGGGTGGAGTAGCAGTAACACAAAGTAGTCATAGTAGAGGATAAGGATGGATGCGGACATGATTAAGGATATGGAATGATTTTTGCCTGTTGGTGGTGGGAGAGTTCTTGAGACTTTTCCGAGTTCCCATCACACATTTCGACTGTCCGCCCTTTTACTGCTTCTCAAGGATGGATTATGTACCACTTCCATCAGAGTCAACTGAGGGCTTGCAAATCCAGCAACCGGTAACTGTTTCGACGCAAAGCACGTCTGCAAGTTCCTCGTTGGTGTCCCCGTCTATTACTGCTTCACCTCATGACTTCCTTTTTCCCTCCATTACATCTGCCAACTACGGCACTCCACCTGCTATTGAGTTCGGTACCACGCAGCTCTCCTCTGCTTCATATTGCTATTCCCAGTACTCGAATTTGCATTCTCAGTCTTTGTGGCCTTCTGTCGGCAATTTCCAGCCTTTCGGCAATCAGACGGCTGTTTTATCTTATCATCAAATCCAGCAACAACAATTCCTCTATCAACCTCAACATCTTGGACATTACACAGCAATGGGTATTGATAAATTTATATTTACTAATTGCGAGAGCTGCTCATCTCTGTTGGCTTTTTCAAATGTCTTCGTGTTATGTGGGGTATATGAATATTTTTTTTAAAGCTTTCCGACTCCGGAACATTAGAGAAGGGCCCGTGATTCATATCGCAAAAACAAATCAAGTACGTAAAATACATAATTACAAGTCCCATAACAGAAAATAAATTGTAAATGATTTCGGTGTCAAACACAGCGCAAGTCTCGCTAGTATGGAAAGCTGTGAGAATTGAAAAGTATTGTCTTAAATCACAAATTTATGTTCTAAAAACTTAGGTCATCAAGGTTTGGAAATTCTCATTACAAGTGTTTTTAGTCAGCTTCAAGTTTTCCACTTCTCATTACAAGTGTCTATTCCGCTTGGATAAGCTTATGTCTTTGTTACCACCTATCAGGAATTCTTCATTTTCAAATCCTATGATTTATATGTGGCTCATAAATTAATATTTCTCCCTGCACTTTATTTTACGTTTGATTTGGGTTGTTCGAGATCAAAACTTTGAGCTGATATTGAGCGATGCAGTTATTTGCTAATTGAAAGAGTGTTGTAATACCTTTTCCACTCAGATCACATTGTGAAGGGTTATTTAGATTCATTTTATGGAGGTATCTCGAGTCCATCGGGCACCGCATTTGGATCATCTTGTGGTGCTTTCGATTCATTTAGTGGTATTGGTACAGGAATAACGCCGCAGCAAAATGTCAGTTACGCTGGTGCTATGAATTTACCGCAACAGTTACCTTTTTTAAATATTATCGGTGAACAACAACCACTGACTAGGTAAACTTTATGGACTTATAAAATTCATTGTTTACTGGAAATGAGGTGGTGTAGCCAGGAGATAAAAATTCTGCTCTTAATTGCCCACTCCATATAGAGGTCTGTCGACTTTCCAAAGGCCTCTGTCTTTCCAGTAGCTTTATTTTCCAAGTTTAATGCTTTTTTGATTTGTCGTTCTAAAGTCTCTAATCATTTATCACAATGACTTTCACATTCTACTGGAATATGTATAAATTTCAGAGAAGTAATGCAAGATTATTTGAATAATCGTCAAAAATATGATTGCATTGTTAGTATATTTCATGCCAAAGTGGCGCAGAAATCTTACGGAAACGAAAAGAGGTTGGTGAATCAATTTGTGAAATTTCAAAAAAATTTAAAGAACGTTTTTATAGAAAAATGTTCGGGGATTTTTTATTGGAGCTGTTTCTTGCATCAATTTTGTTTTTATAGTGCTATGGAATACTTCATGTGGTTTTCAAAAAATTCTTGATCGAAAGTTTAATTCCAGAAAACTTGTTGAAGTCTTAATTAAAGTTTAATTATCGTTTCGAAATGATAAGGTTTTAATTTCAGTCTCAGTTATGAGCAACAGAGTCTTCTCTGAATGGTGTGGTTATTCAGTTTTGTGATTCCAATGTTCCTTTTATCCTTATGATCTGGATTATGCTTTCTTCTGATTTCAAATAGTTAATATTCTCAACCTCTAAGGGAAGCAAGATTTGTAGGGACCACTATTGATCGCATTCATTTTATCTGATATCTGTAGTTCTCAATGCGATGCTGCTTCAAAGAAAAATGTAGTTTATGATGATTATTTAGAATAGGCTCTGGAAAGCGTGAGAATATCTATTTAATTTTGGTTTTCCACCTAATTCTATCCATTATCGAACTGGTTTTTGCTTCTAATACATTTTAACTGTTGTCATTACTTTGCACACACCCACAACTACCGTACTTAAATGAGTGACTTCTTCACATTTCCCACCTTCTTTACTTCTTGCTTTAGAGTGGCCTATTGCAGGCGTGTAGTGTCACTACCGTACCCTCCATGTCGTTTCATCTGATCGATTCCTTTCCATGCCTAAGCCTTAGCTTTCTCATTGTTTATACTTTTATTAAGCTTGTTGAAAAGCGCCCCAAGCAATAGCGCATACCTTCGCTTCCCAGTCATTAATTTTTATGAACTTTTTACCGATCAGAGGGTAGTACTGCACAGGATTAAATATAATGTTGATTGAGAATATCGTTGGAGTCAGCTGAGAAATTCATGGGCTTCAAGTGACAATGTAAGAAAACCTGGCGGTCAAATAAATAGAATCTATAGTTTATAATTCCATAAAAAATGTCAATTCTTCACTTTCTTGTAAAATACTTTCCGATATTGAATCCGTCCAGTTTCTCGTCATCCTGTCACAGACGTTTTTTTCCATCCTACAAAAAGATTTTCGAGTGATTTTTATCAGAGGAATGGGTTTTCAGATTTTTCTGTCCTCCGCCATGCATTTATCTTTTCGGAGATGGATGGAAACATAAAAAGAAAATGGCGGAAGATTTATACCGACGATATCGTGAATATCAAAAGCGAAACGATGTGCAGGAAACGGATTCAGACGCAGAACATATTAGTGAAGCTCGGTCTACTGAATTATGCGCATTTATCGGAATTGGAGCACCATCTGAGCAGGAAAAACAAACACTTGATTTCTCTAGTAACAAGGTCCTGGTTTTTTTTTAATGATTTTTTTTAATGATCTGTACACTCGATGTTGGGATCCACATGCATCCAAACTCTTACTGTTGATCGCTAACTTGAAAACTTAGTCCTGCAGACTTTCAAACGTTAATTTTCCAGATCAACTACATATTTGATACTTTGCAGTTCTAGTTTTAAGATCTTGGAGATTCTGTGTGAAGTCCGATTTAGAGTATTTCCGAATTAATTTCATGCGAATTCAACTGTGTGATTTTGATTTGTAAACTTCCGTTTGCACATGGTGAAATCGATCCGTCATTTTTTCTGCTCAAATCTTACGTTGGGTCAGAAATTGTAAGCAACTGTAATACTCATTTAGAGCACTGCGAAGAAATTATTTTGTTCGGCCTGCAGTACAGAAATTTTGGAGATCCTATGTGAAGTCCGATATAGAATATCTTCTAGTTTGATTTAGTCATGAATCTAAAAAAAAAAAATACTTCGAATCGATGATACATTCTGCCTATATTAAATAAATTTCTGTCTTGGAAGATAATTTCCTTCCAGTTTTCTGTATCTAATTCTCTGTTATTAATTTCTTTCAGGATTATTGTGCAGCGAAGACATTATATATTTCGGATGCCGATAAACGCAAATATTTTGAGCTTTCAGTGCAGTTCTTTTACGGGTCCGGACATGAAATTGGAGTTTTTTCTTCTCAACGGATTAAAGTTATCAGTAAACCAAGCAAAAAGAAACAAAGCATGAAGAATACTGACTGCAAATATCTTTGCATCGCCTCTGGTACCAAAGTGAGACATCCTTTATTGTTTTTTGTTTTGCAAGTGAGAAATTCATTTAATTCTGTTTCAGGTTGCCTTATTCAACAGGCTTAGGTCGCAAACTGTCAGTACGCGTTACTTGCATGTTGAAGGAGGAGGGTTCCATGCGAGTTCGACAAAATGGGGTGCTTTTACAATCCATCTGAGTTAGTTCAATGTTCCATTATATAAGTTTATTTATTTATTGTTTTTAGTCTAAATTAATTTTAGTTTTGTTGTTTTTCTGTGTGAAAGGTCGTGAGAATGTATGAGCATTTCAGTCGAGGACGATCCCGGCGCAGGTGAATCGGAAGATTTCAATGTTAAAGATGGCTTCATTTACTATGGTGCTTTAGTAAAACTCGTTGACAGCGTTTCAGGAATTGCTTTGCCTCGTTTGGTATGCACCGAATTTTTTCATTATAACATCTGATGATAGTTGACTGAGCAATATTCCTATCATGTTCATCAGTATATCGATGTCATCTTGTTGATTGCTTTTTTTTAGAGAATTCGTAAAGTTGATAAACAGCATGTTGTACTAGATGCATCAGCAAGTGAGGAGCCAGTTAGTCAACTACACAAATGTGCATTTCAAATGGTTGATTCTGATACAGTCTATCTTTGTCTTTCGCATGATAAGATTATCCAGCATCAGGCAAGATTCTTATATTTCATATACTAAAAAAATATACCATTTTTTAGAATGTTGAAGCTTGATAAGGATTTAAAACGTTTTGATTTCAAAGCGGGGCGATTTAATTACGGAGCAAACTTAATTGCTTTAACTTTATTGCTCTCTTGCAGGCTGTACTCGTTGACACAAATCGGCACCAGATAAGTGATGGAGCGTCGTGGACTATTATTTCTACCGATAAGGTAAGTTTGGGATGTTTTAACAAGGATTTTATTCTTTTATCCAGTGAGTTACATCTGCGGAAAAATGGAAGGAGCTATTCATTATACTATGTGCTTGCTCTTTGAACGATATATCCTTTTACTAATAATTTTTTAAGTAACGTTGTGACATTTTTTAAAGAGAAATTTTTATAATTGCCTGCGTTATAGTAATTATTCGAATATTTTTCATCAGTAACCTTTTATTTTAGGCCGAATATCGATTTTATGAAGCCATGGGACCAGTACGTCAACCAATAACCCCAGTACCTGTTGTCAGTGGTATGGAGCTCTATGGCGATGGTGATCTTGCACGAGTCGATCTCATTGGTTCAAACTTCAGAACGAATCTCAAAATTTGGTTCGGCACCATACCAGTGGATACCATTTTTAGGTTTGTTCGGTACTAGATCAGTTATATTATATCAAATGTGATACATGATAAAGAAACGGAGAACTGAAAGGATTCTAGAATTTCTAAGATTTGTTTAAAAGAATTGCTGTTTTTATTGCCTGATCTTAATAAGCTTATTATTAATTAAAATATATAGCATCCAAAGTGAATATCTAGGCTGGGTGAACGCATGGTTAGTCATGTTTCCGATAATTTCTCGCTTAATGAAGTTAATGCTTAAAGAAGTAATTTACTTGTAGATCAGAGGAAATGATGGGTTGTTTGGTACCTCCGCTGTCAGCAGTTTGTCCGAATTGGGCACCGTATTGTGGTGAACCTGCTGCAGTACCTTTATCGTTGGTTCGTGATGATGGTGTCATTTATTCCACAAATATGACATTTAATTACAAAAGCGAAACGGCTGCACGGTCGATGGTGAATCGCCGATATTTGGAAAATATGAGAACATAAGCATCCCTGACGATTCATTTGTCTTTTTTTGGTCCGCATTTTATTTTTTATTGTGCATATTGTTCTGAGAATTAAATATAGTGGGTGCACACAAGACCAACCTACGTTGCGTTGAATTATAAGGTGTTGCTAGTTTCTTTAATTTTTTTCTTTTAAAGTATGCGAAAGACGAGGCAAATGATTACCTGGTTTGCTCTTATTTTAATTTCAAGTATGATGTTTCCAAGTAATTCGAATAATTTCAGCTTTCTGGCTCCACAAATGTTTAGTACGTTTTCACACCATAGATTTCTTTCTAATTATTTAAGTTATTTGCACACAGAATACATTGGTTAGTGTTTACACTCTACAGTGCTATGATCACTTTCTTTTCCAAATCGCGATACTTTTCGACATACTAAATTTTATATCTTAGGTTGTTATACCATTGAATTTTGCGACAGTATCGTATTATTCACTTTCTTTATTCCACTTTTTTTCTATTTTTCATCAGAATAAACTGTTGAGAGGTGTTTGTCATATTGGGATTATGCCGAAAAATATGAAGAAGGAATTGTTTGATCTTAACTAAAAATTTATTGAGACCTGTAGTTCGATGCTGTTGCAGTGGATGCAAAAAAGAGACCTATGAGCACATGGAACAAATAGTTTGATTATTGTATGTTACTTCTGGAGTGAGTACGTTGAACACTGATATAATTGTTTATGTTTTTGGTATTGAATTTTATGGCACAGTTCATAGGTCACAGTCAATAGGGTTCTTACATTATACGATGTGTCCACTATGTACTTTTCGGATTCCGTGTGGACATTTTTTGCGTCCGTTCGAGTCTCGTACTGCTAGACATTTTCCTTTTCGCAACATTTTTGAACCTAAATTTATTCGGACGTTTATGGTTGCAATTAGTTGGATTCGACTGGGGATTATTTTGAGAGCAGAGTATTAGAGAAGTGAAATCTATACGTATAGTCTAACCAAGGACGAATTGGAGCTGCTAAGTTACTGACATTGTTAAGTTTCCAGAAGAGTACGGGTCGCCTAACAATGTTTGGTGTCCGGTTACTTCCCAGACGGGAGAAGGCTATGCAAAGTCTGGATTAGAAATCCATTCCAATTGGAGGGCAGAATTACCTTGTTTGCAGAATTTTGTTTGTTGTGGACATTTTCGTACATCTGTTTGTTCTTTGCATTTCAAATAGCGGTGTTGTAGATTGGAACTGTCGCATGATGACCATCGTGTATAATCGTCTTCAACTGGATCGTCCTGAAAAAAGTCATGAATCCATTACTTAAAAAATATCTCGTAAGCATTTTGCCAAATATTCTCAGTACGGTGATATTAATATTTGGAAGCAAACCCGGAAAACGTCCGATATTTCTTTCTTATTGCGGGTTCGTGGGACTTCGAAATAAAACATTCGAACTCCCTGGTCTTCAGCAACAAATACGTTTGGATGTGTTTCGCGACTTTCCGTATTTAACAAGCAGTTCTGCAAGCGGTACATTCGTGTAAAATAATTTTTAATCTCTGGGTGATATCTTTGCTTATTAAATAAGCTACGATTGGCAGTATGAATGATAAGAAGGGAACCATATACTTGATCTTCATCGTTTGGGTACCACATTGCTGAATGGCATACGAATGAGAATTCCTGTTCAGCTTGCAAACAGGCGGTCATGCATTCCTTGAGCGAAGATGCGTCGATTACTTCCATAACATGTCCAACAAGGATATGATCCAAGACTGTTGGCCACAATTTTTCTGTTCCTTCCGCCAAATTCTCTGGTAAACAAAACTGAAATTGATAGGGTAAACGAAATTTTGTTCTCAAAATAGCTTTACAAATTGAATAATATTCTGATGTAAACTTACTTTACACATCATAAAATTAGACAAATTTTAAATCCCCAAGAAATTTTATCATGTCCATCAGTACTTTCCTAATGTCAATTCATAATTTTGATTGCCCTTCTGATCTCTTAAGCAAGAAAACAGCCTCCGAATTTTCCATTCACTCGTTTAAATGAATAGTGAAATGAATAAGTGGTAAAAGCAACGACAAGATTTAATTATAATAAAATTATACAGGGGGTACAACGACAAAAATGACAGGTATTATACATACCTTTTCCAGATATGTACTATTTTCCTTGAAAATGAAATCGTCACTGTTTTTATGAATAGCCTTTGAAACTGATAATTCGCATTCCTTACCTCTATGGATCACAGATGAACTGCAACATATAATAAGAACTGTATCATTCATTAAAGCGGATAAGCAAGCTTCACATGACTACATTCATCCTGATGATTACCGCAACTGTAAGTGAAAATTAACTTGTATCCTGCTTACCTCTATTTTTGATCTAACAGTTTTCGAAATGGAATAAAATTTTGACATTTTTATTGGAAACTCTGAACATATCTCGGCAAGCATCATTTGAATTATTTAATTGGAAAATCCATTATTAAAACTTTTGAAGCACCAAGTAAGAGTTTCATCTCCGTCACATGCTCTCGTACATTCTTTCAAACTTTCCCCTTTAACAAGTTGCGTATCAGTCGCTGAATTTAGTCGTTCGTAGTTTGGTATCATTATGTAACGTGTCACATCTTTATCTCTGCAGAGCTTTTCACTACTTTTGCTATCCGATTTTCGATGTATAGCCTGCAAAGAAAAAGTAGTGAAGTTCTAGAATTCTTTCATTCTTCTGCGATTCCAGTGTTTTCACAAGCAATTATTCAAAAATTCCCATTTTTTCCACTTTTAAATTATCATAACGATAAAATATCTAACTGATGCTTGATAGCCCGGAGACAAATCTGATCGATATTCAGTTCCTGTTCCGGTTACTTCCGTGTCTTGTGGAACTGCTGGGTGACTTGGCTCTTCATTTTCTGCATCCGAAATAGCTGTGTACTGACTTGAGTGAACTTGGGAAGATGGACTAACATTTAGATACCTGCAGTAATCAACAAATGTCTTTGTTAACGAATTAGTTAGTTTCTCGCAATTTTAACAATTTCAGAAATCTTATATGTTATTGTGTCCACCTCAGAAATGATCCAAAAACGTCTCAGTCAAACGAAATGAACACTAATTGATCAAGCAAGCAATATTGCAGTGCTAAAGGAAAGCTATATCGAAATATCTTTCAGTCAAATTTGATCAGTGAAAATGAAGAAACTATGTATAATACTCGAGATAATCTCTATCCAAATATTCAGTAAGGAAATGAGGCGGGCTTGTGCCATTTACAGCAAACAAATCGCAAATTTTCCAATGATGATCGAAAGTTAACGAACGACACACCCATTCCGAATCGGCATTCTAGGATAATTACAAATTTATCGTGAAAAAAATGAAAAGATTGTAATGTCTTATTAAATTATCAAGCTCCTTATTAATTTTGAAATGGAAATGAAAGGATAGGAAATTGAATTTGTACTCAAAATGATGAGTGGCTCTTCTAATTACTAAATTTAGACACTTCAACCGATTATTACCTGAAAAGAGAGGCATTTTTTAATACAATCCTCGCATGTAGAACCAGTTGTTCGCTCAAACATTATTGCATTTGCAACTGCAGTTTGAGGCTCAAATCGCCAAGAGTTATGATCTGAAATAAGATCGTTCCATACTATCGTACAAATTTATTGGTTGCAAACTACTACTGTAAATAGAAGTTTCAGCAAAAAACGAAGATGAGAGCAGTCAGGCAGAGAGAGTAAGAGAGGGAGAGTAGATTTATAATGAATTTTTCCTTAGGAAAAGAAGCGGAAAAGAAACTGCAAGTGCTTGTTGCTAATGTTGCATACAATATGCAATATCAATCAGTTCATAAGATGTTCCTGGAAGTTCTAGCTTAATTTCATTTCATATGAGCAAAAATATTTAAAGAGTAAGTAATAGAGGAGTGTTATTAAACTGTAACTTCAGTGTTATTAAAACAAACCGAATGAACACTTTCCACTACTTTTGGCATCTCGTCTTATTGGTGGTGGTGGTGGCCGGTATCCGAGTGATGGTCCCTCTCCTGTTAGAACACGTGGTGCAGCTACAGGAACTGTTGGTCTTGTGTAGCCATCGTCTGATTCGTTTCCTCCGTAGCTTCCTTCTGATTCTACATTGACAGGTGATTCGGTTATGCTTGAATACTGACCATTAGCTAATCGCAATAAGCATGCGAAAATAATGGCTAGCATGATATAACTTGTAGATGTGCGATGAATGCAAAAGTTTTAGGTAGATGGACACCCAACACTCAGAAGAGATATGATGTTAAATAGGGTATTAAGGGGCGGAACAAAACGCATCATGGATTAAATCCTTGAAAGGTAGGTTGATAATGGAGTTCGGAAGACAACTGGATGACCCCGATCTTTCATTACAGCATCTTTTATGCCCTGAATTCCATTAATGGATACCGACGAGCAATACCTTTCCACAACAGTATCACTCCATTCATTTTCGATTACATTCTCTAAATGGGTGTTTCCTATTAATTAATCAGTGAAACTTATCACTACGGAGAAAGTATTATCAAACATTCTTAGTTTTTCTTTGGATACGCTGAGGTTTCAGTCTTTACTAGTCGGTCTTTTAGGCAATAAGTCTGAATGTTTCCCGAAGAATTACTCTAAACTTGAAGCTGACAAATTTTCTAAAATGTATTATCGAATTTCAGAAAGGAAATTAAAAAATTCCGGTCAAAAATAATAATTATACATAAACAAAAACAGAAACTGCTCAGTAAGGTGGAAATTTTCTTTATACAAAGTCGACGAATGAATTTTGGACTTCCAACTTTCACAGAATGCACTTATCTTCAATCATAACACCGATTAAATTTCGATGTATTTCCCAGAAATATATATTCAACAAATCTAATGGCTTAAAGTCAACATTTTGAAACGAAAAACGGAATTATATATTGCGATAGTATGAAGTCTTTCAGTAGTTTACTTCATTCAATTTTCAACAACCATCGAACCTCGAACACGAATTAATAAACCAGAATAAATTACTGGCTTTACCATGTGTTTGTAGCAACGTGAATTGAAACTTTTCGCAATAAAAAAAGAAGTTCCACTCAAATTCTATTCTATTATTATAGCAGCAGCCTAAATGCATTTCCCCATAACCTAATGAATCAAAAACTGCCTGTTAGTCATTTTATTTGATTTTACTTTTTATTCGTAAATTTTTATTCTTTTTATCACACTTCAACAGTGCCAAGAATACATTCAAACTGTAAACACATACTGTGTTAAGAACTATTACACAAAATATACATTTTGCAAAATTTAAGAGATCCAGTAGACCACACAGTAAGAATAATGATATTTAAAATGATTATAGAGAAGGCGCTTTGGAAATTTGGTATTAATGGAGACATTTAAAATAAACTACAATACCATACATAACAGTAATATGCGTTCAACATCAATTTGTTCACATACGCATGAACTGAATCATGAATTAAATCAATAAGTGCCATTAATCTTTGGAACTTCATCTGCCACCTTCATCTCGAAGATAAACCGTCATACCAAGCCAAAACACTGTCGAGAAAATCTTACGACCTTCATGCATCATCTTTGTATTTCCGCATTCTTCAGTTACTTCGAGACCAAAATCAGTTGCTGTGGAATATTTTTTTCAGCTCATTTAGCAAACCTCACCAAGCTTCATATAAACAACCATGCAACTTCATGTTCTCTTGTGGTTCTGCGTTAGCGCTGCAAATTTTTCCTTGATATGAATGAATGAATTGAATTGAATTGAGACATAGCAAGCATTAAAAAGAATACTCAAAAATAATCACTATGACTATGAACACTATCTAAAACACACTTTACGGAAGTAAAGTAATTAAGTCTTTTTAATTACTTGACATAATACTTTCGAAAGACATTTTTTGTCACGAAAGATCTATAATATCAACAAAGAACGTGAACAAATGCTTTATTGTCTCGGCGTTACTTTAGACGCATACGCAAAATAATCACAACAAAATTTCATTTTTGTTCAAAAAAAACTATTAACATAATACATTTATTAAAGCAATTCCATTAACAAACCTTTTCAAGGATCCGAGAAGCGTTGCTCAAATAAAAGTCACTATTATCTAGCAAACAAAATATATCCAGCAGAAAACAAACAAGTGAGCGAAACTATGAAGTGCAAACGAGTTCCGATAACTGCTGCCTACAAATATTTCTGGAATGAGATGAATGAGGTGCACTAAGCTAAGCAATATTTAGTTAGCTCAAACAGTAATTTACTGATTTACTGAGTAACAACACCTCAGTTGAAGTTTCACGAAAAATAACCGTGATTTCAGGACTTCAAAACAAGGAATAATTTCTATTGCAGTTAACAAAGGTGGACAAATTTATTCCTAAGTTAACAATCTATAAAAGGATTAGATAATATATGCACCGAATCATGGAATTTAAAATAAAGCAAAAAATCAATGTTACTCTGAAAGATAATAAGTGGAATCAAGGAGCACATACTTTATAGAATATACCAAGGAATCCTTTCTTTTCACTAAGCAACCACGAATTAATGCGAGGTACTCTCTTCAGATAAGCACAAGTGCAAATTAGGAGCAAACCGACAATCACAGCACCATCAAACGAATATGCTGTAAGTATTTCAACATATATATATTTTTTTTCATAACTCAGTGATCAATTTACAGATTTAGAATCAAAATATTAAAAGCAATTTTGAAGCGCTTCACATATTTGCTTCAGAAGTTTAGTTCTAGTGATATTCTATTCAACAAAACACATTTCTTGATGGCAACGCAACTTGATGCCGTACGCACTGACAAATTGTTTTCTCCTTCAAGAGATTTCAACGTCTAAACTATCTCAACAACACTTATTTATACATATCAAGAAAATAAATATATTAACCGTTCATAAAGACCGATAAGATCAAAAT